TCAATTACAATTTAATAAAATCAACTGTGAGACATGTACGGTTGCTTTAAACGTAAGTCTCATATTAACAATTTTATTTTTTTTATTTAATAAATTCAACCTAGCGTTGGGTATTCAAATAATAAATTTCATGTCAGTGTTTTCTTTTTTTTTTTTTTATAAAATTAAAATTAAAAAGAGTTGTTGAGTATTCAGTAAGTTTTTTATCATTTAGGTACAATTTTTAGGTTACAGAAAAAAATTATTCACCAATAAAAGCAATATTAAAAACCGAATTACCACCATGTTCAAAGAACGAAGTAAATTTATTGATGATTACAAATGAAAAAACCGTTAATGTGGATAAATTTTCAAAATGGTGTCCGATGGGAAGTAAATCAGAAACAAACAAAGAAATACCATTTGCCGGTCAATGTGGTGTGGATTCCATTTGTATTTCCGACGTTCAAATTTCATGCAAATTTCCACAAGTTCAGTAAGTGAAAAAAAAAAAAAATTTTTTTGATTATTTGATAATCGTCGCCATTAACAAATAATAATAATAATTTTATAGAAGTGGTTCATATGTTTTGGGTTCAACTGATCATATTCGATTTCTTGTAAATTTAGTAAACATGGGTGAACCGGCAAATGGTGTCAAAATTAAAATTTCTTCTAATATAAACCTATATTTAAAAAATGAAAATGATAATAAAAATAATTTAGAATTTAATTCTCCGAAAAATATTTTTTATCGTGATGTAGCCGATGTTTTTTCTGACTACCTTCAGGTATAATGTTTTTTTTTTTATTTATTCCCAGATTAAAAGAAAATATATTTTATTATATTTACTATTATTATTATTATTATTACTATTTTAATTTTTTTTTTTAAATTTTTAGATTAATTTTTTTTTCAAAATTCCACTGGATGAAATTTCAAAAGTTAATTACGCAAACAACACAATTTCAAATTTAACTATAAATGCTGAAGTTATAACATCTACGAAGGAATTAAATATTAATAATAATAATTGCACAAATTTAATTAAACTTTCTTCCGATGGTGTCTTACGATTCAATTCAACTTCTTCTCATAAAAATATATTTTTATCTGGAAAAAATTTTAAAACAATTCAAATAATTAAACTTTATTATGAGGTAATATTTAAAATTCCTCACAAAAATGTGTTTTTAATCGTCATTTTTGTTTTTTAAATGTAAAAAAATTTATATAATATTTAGATCTTTCTTTAAAATATTTTATCCTAAATATTTCCATAATTTGAATAAAATGGAAATATATTAATAAAATAATGAAACAAAATGGATATATTAATAAAATGGGATTATATTAATTAAAAAATTGTTAATTTGGTTTTTTAGATAGAAAAAAAAGGAAGTTCACCCATATTGGATCCAGAATTAACAATAAATATTCCTTTAAATTTTTTTGGAAATCCAACTTCATTTGATTTAGATGCATCCGAATGGGTTAACATTGTTCATGTCAGTCAGAAAAATAATAATAATTTAATAATTAATGATAAAAAGGTAAATCTACCGTGTGATAAATCTTTTTTTTTTAACATTATTTTTACTTATATTTAAAATTATGTTTCATCCAATTAGAAAAAAAGAAAAACGTGTTACTGTAGAAATAGGGGAATTAAAAGTAAATTTTCACATTTTATGATTATAAAACATTTATAACTCTGGGAAAACCTTCAAAATAAAAAAAAAAATTCTTAGTTATCAAATTTTCTTTTTCCTTCCAATAAAATTAAAACATTGTTTGATAATATATATATTTTAAGAAAAGTAAATATAATTAATTACGTGTAATCTTTTTATAGGTATCTGTTTACATATAAGCGGTCTCTTTCTATTTCAAAATGTAAAATACTTTTTTAAAAATAATAATAATAAAAATAATAATTTTAAAAAAAAAATTTTATCAGAAAAATGAATTTGTGTGTGTGTGTAAATAAATAATTGTTATTTCAATCTGACTTTGAATTTATTTGTTTGATTTTTTAGGGGAAAAACATGAGTATTTTAAATACGGGGAAACCATTAAATGAATTTTATTTCAAGGGAAAAAATTATAGTAATTATAATATATTAAAAATAACATTTCCAAATGGGATTCCTAACGAACCGACAACATACGTTAAAATTACAACATATTTAAATATTAGTAACATTGGTAAATAAACATTTTATATGTGTGATATTAACAATTTTTTATTTATTTATTTATAATAATAAACATTTGTTTTTAATTTTATAGGTTTTTTTGGAAACGAAGGAAAAGAAATAAATTTCACAACATTTGCATGGCTCAAGTATAAAAATTTTTTTAAAAATTCTGGCGTTGAAATTCCCGTAATATCCTCTGTTGTTTTTTCTACACAAAAAAACAAAACGGTTGATAATTACATAATTGCATTATCTGTATTATCTGGGGGGTTTGTTTTACTTTTAATTATTTCATGGCTAACAAAAAAAAATTTTTTTAAAAGAGATAAAAGAGATGCGCTTCAAACATTAAAAACAGCTGAAGTTTTTTTTACTTAATTAAATTTTTTTATTTTTTATAAGTAAAAATTTTTTTTATATCAGTTATATTTTAGGCTTTATTTTTCCATATGTAAAAAAAAAAACAACGATCGTACATTGATAAATTTCCTTACTAGATTGTAAATTAAACTTTGAACAAATTATTATTAATAATAGTTTAGGAGGAAAAAAAAAAAAAAAAGTTACATATTTATAACGTTTAATAGGGAAAAAAATTATGTCAATGCTACGTCTTGAAAATAAAACCATTCGTAAACAATTTATCACATTCATTTTTTTTTTTTTAATGTTTGATAATAAAAAGTTAAATATTAATATAAGTTATCTTAGTTTACAAAGCTTAATTAAAACAAAAAGCTTAATATAAATATAAATTTTTTTTTTTTTTTTTAATCCAGTTGAATTTAAAACAATAAAATTAATAGAAAATATTATTTCAAGGAAATTTTTTTTTTTTTTTCTTTTCAAAAACTTAATTTTATTCATTTAAGTTAAAAGTATTTGACCTTGATTAAAAAAATTTTTTTTTTTTTATTGTATTGCCTAAAATCAATAGAATTTTATTATAAAATTACAAATCAATGATTTAACATGAATTTTTTTTTTTTTTTTAAACAATGTTTAATTTGTAAAATTCACGTTTTTAACTCATTAAAAAAAATTTTGATTTAAAAATTTAAATTATAAATTTTTGTATTTTTATTAACAATTATTAGGATTGTAAACATTTTTTTTTTTTTGAAATAAAATAAATTTTAATAATTTAAATTCAAGCTGGCTAATAAAAATTACACGAAAAGTACAGAAAAAAAAAAAACTGAATCACCAGAAACTAATCAACACCTTAATCTCGATAATTGAAAAAAAATTTTTTTTTTTTTTTTTTAAATATTAAATTATCGTTACATTAAAAAAATTTTATTTTTATTTTTTTTTTTTCGATAGACATTTGATAAGATTTTCAAATTTTTATTTTCAAGATAAAAAAAATCTCACGTTTTCACATTGCGCATGACTGTTATCTTCATTAAAAAAAAAAAAAATGGCGGCGAAAATTGGTACCGTTAAGAATAACCTGATCCGTTTATTGTTTTTACTTAGTTCTCAACTGGTTTTTTCTTAGTGATGTTAATATTATTATTATTTATAAAACCAATTAAATTTTTTATCGAAGGAAAATATATAATTACATATAATAAAAGCATGTGATTGAAAATTTATTAAACGAATCAACTTCGATTTAGTTTTTTTTTTTTTCTTCTCATTTTCAATGTTATTTAATTCCATAATTTATTTAATTTAAATGTGTATTTTTTTATAAAAATATAAAATTAAAAAAGTAATTATTTTGCTGGAAGAACAATAATAATTGACTCGTGTAAGTATCTTTTTTTTTTTTTCATTTATGTATTGATCAAATGTGGTGGAAATAATAATAATAATTGTACAAAGAGAGAATGAGAGTAAAATGTTTTTTATTTTTTTATATGGAATCATTTTCAAATTTTAATTTTTTTATAAATAAATAATGAAAATAGTTTAATAAATAAGTAAATAAAAATATGTTCACACTTTTGTTTAATACAATTCATTCATAAAATATCAAAATACACATGCATGCAAATGCAAATATTAATTTTTTTTTTTTTAATTTTATTTACATTTAATTACAAACAAAATTTTAATTTGTTTAAATAATTTAATCAAATATAACTAATGATAAGAAATTTAGTTAATCGAAACTAACAAAATTTTTTTTTTACATTTAAATTATTTTACATATTATAATTATAATTACACAAACTCCATGTTGGGTTTCAATAAGTAATTAATTTAAAATAAATAATGAATAATTTCTAATCTACACTTTATCGATTGATATAAATAAATTTTTTTAAATAAAAATTATAAATCAATAGTTGAGTAAAATTTTTTTTTTTACTGGTGTAAATTATTCAATATTTAGTGTTTATGTATAATTAATTTATTCTGAAGGTAATTTAATGATTATTGTCAGAGTCATTTATTTCAACTTGATTTAAAAAAAAAAAAAAAATTTGTTATCGTTCTCAATAATTATTTCAATAGCTTAAATTACATTAATTTGATTCCCAATTTATTAAATCAAAATAAATTCATTGCAATCTATTGGCATAAATATTTTAAAATTAATTACATCATGTCAATCTAGTTTTTACAAAAAAGAATAATTAATAAATAAATATTTCTTTTTTTGTTTGTTCGATGTTTGTCAGTTTTTCATTTTGATTTTTTTTTTTTTTTTTTTTTTCAATAATATATTTCAAACATAAACTTGTTTGATTTTACATAATGACTTTTAATTTAATTATTAAATAATTTACATTTAAATAAAAAGAGAAAAAAAAAAAAAAATTTGTGTTTTGATTGAGTGCAATGTAAGCTGAATTTTTTTTTTTTTTTTTTGTAAATTATGCTGCCATAAATAATTTTATTAAGTTCAATGACTTAAAGCCACAAACAAAACCTTAATTTAAAGAAATATAAATTAATTTTTAAAAAAATTTATATATATATAATATTTAAATTGCAACAATAAAAAATCTTTGATGTATATTTGACAAGTAAAATGGTTGAATACATTTTCACATACATGGCAAACGTTTACCTGAATAGTTTTTTCTATACCTTGAAAAATATTAATAATAATAATAACTCAATGGTTTCTTTTTTTTTTTTAAATTTTTTGCTTGAGATTGTATGCCTAAAAAAAACAATTTTTTATTGGATGAGTAATAATAATAATAATAATAATAATAATATAATGTTTTAGCGTCTCAATATTTTCTCATTAGGTTCGTTGGCTTAAATCTTTTTGTTTTTGTTCGTGTTATTATTTATTTATTTTTAATACATAATCATTATTAATTATATTAAATAAATTATTTATTTTACTTATCAAATAATTAAGAAACGTTTATTATTTATTATACAATAAATAAGTAAATTTTCTATTTTTCTTTTGTATGGGTAATCAGATTTTTGTTATAATTCTTTTCTATATTAATTTACATATAATTATTATTATTATTATTATTATTGTACGCTTTGTCTTTTGTAGTTTTTCATGGTGGGGCCTAAAATTTAATAAGTATTATTTTTTCTTGTTTTTTCCAAACAATCCGCCCGTTTTGTTTTTAGTTGGTTTCTTAAACAAGTCATAATAATAATAACTATTTATTAATATGATTTGTAACTAATTTTTCTTTCAAGTTTTACTTTTAGAAGGTGAATGCCATCACCTACAGTTGTTAATAATTGTATAGGAATAATTTAATAATATTTATTTAAATTTATAAAAACTAGTTTATTTTTTTTCTTGTTGGTGTTTTAAGCCAAAAATCATCCTAATAGGTAAATGTTACCGTTTATATTTAATTTTTATTATTGAATTGTTGACTCAAAAGTATTATTTAAAAAAAAATTCAATGTATAATTTTTTTTTTTTTTTTTTTTGTAGATAATAATATTTTCAAAACATGGCGTTCGGTTGGGTAGATTATTTAGTTTGTATAGTTGTTTTATTAATTTCATCGTCGATAGGGGTATATTATAAACTAACAGGAGATAAACAAAGGACTAATAAGGTAATTTTTTGTTTTTAACCATTAAACAATTTTTATAACCCCTTTTCTAATTGTTTTAAAAGTCAAATTTTTCTTTTAAAACATTTTATTTATTTATTTTTTTATAAAATGCGTTTAATGTTTTTATTTAATTTGATACCTTCACACACACACACAAAATAAATAAATAACATTTTGCATATATTTTGCATGCATTTCAAATTTTTAGCTGATTTTCAAACATTTGAAAAATTTGAAAAACAAAAAAATTTTTCCTTAGATTTTAATAATAATAATAATAATAATAATTCTATTTTGCAAACAATAAAATACGTTTTATAATATAATTCATAATGTATAATTTAATAATAAAAATAAATACACATTTTTATTATTTAATAATATTTTTTCGTCATTCAAAGAAACAAATTTTACATTTAATTATTTTTTATGATATTATTATTATTATATGTTTAAAAAAAAAAATACTCTCATGTTGTAAATGATGCAAAAAAAAAAAAAAACAAATAATAATAATAATAATAATAATAATAATAATAATAATAATAAAATGAATGAAACAATGTTAGATTAAATGTGGATTAAATATAAATCGGGTTTAGGAATTTTTTTTATTATTATTATTATATTTTTATTAAAATAATTTATTTGCTTAAAATTTATTGTCGACTACTTATTTCGATTATTATGCAATTACAAAAATTTTAATTTGTTTTTTTTTTTTAACATTAACTGTTTTGTAAGAATATCAATATTATATAAAATGATTTTATTTAAATTTTTTTCTCCAATTGAAACCTATTTTAAACTGTTTTTTTAAAAATTTTCCAGGAATATCTTTTAGCAAATTATAATGCCAATATGTGGGCGGTCGGTTTCAGTTTAATGGCATCATTTATGTCTTCCATTACACTTCTTGGAGTTTCCTCTGAAATGTATACTTATGGATTACAATTTATTGTTATTAATATTTCTTATGGAATATTTACACCAATAGCTGCTCATTTATATTTACCAGTATTTTTCAAATTAAAAACTACAAGTGCCTACGAGGTAAATTTATTTTAATTTTAATTTCTTATTATTTTATTATAGTCAGGTATACTTTTAATGTATTTTATATAATTCTGGTAGGTACACACACACACACACACACTCTTTTAAGTTTTTTCATTTCCCTTGTTGTTGTTGTTGTTGTTGTGTTTCATAACCGAAACTATATAACAATAATAATTTGTTGATCAGGATAAATCTGTTTGAATTTTATGATTGAAAAATGTTCAACTTCCGAAATCAAAATGGCGGTTTTGATTGTACTTTTCTTCTTCAGAAGAATACGAGCTAAAAAATGTTTTATTACGCGCGACTTATTTCAAGGTATGGTTATGTAATTTGATGCATTTGATACAATTGTTATTTAATCGTATTTTTCTTGTTATCAAATTTTAGATTATCTATTAATTAATTATCAATACAAAAATCAGTTAAATTAACATTTAATAGTTTAGACTTAAAAAGTTTTTATGAGCATAATATATTAAAAAATACAAATAAGAAATTTTTTTGTTAACATTCGAAAATTCTTCTGCCACTACTATTTATTACCAATAATAATAATAATAATAATAATAGAACTAGGATAATTTTCCGATTTACAATCAATTAATTGTAGTAATTAAAAATTCCAGGCAACTCAATATTAAATACACCACTTTTATATCAAAAAATTCTATAATTTTTAAAAGAATTTGGAGTCGTGTTTTTTTTTTTTTTTTTTTTTTTTGGCTTTGTTTGCAGTAACGACTAAATTCTTAATTAATTAATTAATGAAAATGTTTTTCTCTTGATTTTCAGATTTTATGAATTTAACAAAAAATTGAAAAATTACTTAAGCTTAAAGAATCAATTTATTAAAAGATAATTTTACATTGATTTTTATGATATTTGTAATTATTTTTCAAAAAAATATTATTATAATTGAAATGTCTGGAATTTTTACTGTCGCAACAACAAATTAGTCATAGATCTATAAAGTTTAATCATTTTGATTAAGTTTAGTAAAATTTTTGTGATTAAAAAAAAAAAAAAAAAAAACTTTGATATAATGCCTTAGGAAATTCACATGCTTTATTACTAAAATTTTTTTTTTCTCTCTCTCTCTCTTTTGAGTTTAAAAGATTTAAAATTATATTTATAAATCCATGATGAAACTAAAATTGACAACAGTGTGTCAATTATAATAATAAATGATGATTTTTCAATTGTGAACTATTTCATATAATGTAAAATGCTAAAAGTTTTTTATTGTTTTCATTTTAACTAAATATTTAAATTAATGTTTTAAGAAAATGTTTAAACTTTACATTTTAATTATTATTATTATTAATCGGATAGAGACCTGGAATGAATGTTTTGTTGAAAACAAAAAATAAATGTTACACAAATTATTATGTATTAATTAATTTTATAATAATTTTTTTGTCTAACAAATGCCAAATATTGAAACTAATTTACCTCAACTTAAAATGCGAATGAATATTATTTATACGTCCTCTGTTGCAATTCTACGTTTAATAATATATATAATTATACACATGTAGACAACTAAAATATTAAAAATAATTTTATAAATATTAAATTTGGTTTTCTACTTAAGGGACCCCTCTCTTCAAAACAAATGGAAAAAAAAAAGTTTTATTTTTCTAATATTTAATTAATCTTATAGAATGTTTATGTATTTTATAGGATTAATTATATATATATATATTTTTTTTTTGATATTTTAATTAACAATCTAATTATATCTTTTTTTTTTTTTTTTCAGTATCTAGAAAAACGTTTTGGAGTTACAACAAGACTAATAGTTTCAATAGCATTTTGTATTCAAATGGTACTTTACATGGGCATTGTTGTTCATGCTCCTGCTTTAGCCTTAGAAGCTGTCACTAATATAGACCATGTTTATGCTGTTCTTTTAATAGGCATAGTTTGTACTTTTTATGCTGGTATAGGAGGAATGAAAGCTGTTCTTATGACAGACGTCCTACAGGTAATTTTTCATAATGAAAAAAAAAAATTAAATTTTGATTTTAATTTAATGTTATATACTTAATTAATTAAAATAAATAAATGTTTAATTGATGTTTATTTTTTATTATTATTTTTTTTTTCAGTCTTTTTTAATGTTTGCTGCTGTTTTAAGTATAGCTATTACGGCGATGAGTTCTATAGGATTTAAAGAAATTTTGTCAATTGCTGAACAACACGGAAGACTAGAAATTTTAAATTTTGACCCAGATCCAACTGTTCGTCACACGTGGTGGTCTCTCATCATAGGAGGAGGTTTTACTTTTTTATCTCTATATGCTGTAAACCAAGCTCAAGTTCAACGTTATCTAAGTGTCAAGTAAAAAATTAATTTTAAAAACAATTTCAATGAAGGTTTTTGTTTTTTTTCTTTTTTTTTAAAATTTTATTTTACAAATTTTTTTATTTTTTAGGGATTTAAAAACTGCTCAAAAATCATTATATTTAAATTGGCCTATTCTAAGTTGCCTTAGCGTAACAACTTGCTTTTCTGGCCTTTGTTTATTTGCAAAGTATTATCAATGCGATCCTATTCTGACAAAAAGAATCGCTTCGCAAGATCAACTTATGCCCCTCTATGTTTTAGACACAATGGGAAACATATACGGTTTAAGCGGATTATTCGTGAGCGGTATTTTTAGCGGTTCTTTAAGTAGCGTATCAAGTGCTTTGAATTCCCTTTCCGCAGTTACGGTCGAAGACTACGTTAAGGTATATTGAATAATCCTATGAATGTTATCAAATAAATATCGCTATTAATAATTATTATTTAGCTTTCTATTTTTAGCCCGCATTTAAAAGAATCAAAGGACACAACCTGAACGAACCTAGAGTCGTGCTGTGGACGAAAATCATTGCAGCTATATACGGAGTTTGTTGTTTGGCCATTGCGTTTTTGGCAAAATATATGGGAGCAGTTCTTCAAGCCGCTCTTACGATAATGGGAGTTGTTGGTGGTCCTGCATTGGCCACTTTCACCCTTGGAATGTTCATACCTATTGGCAATGAAGTTGTAAGCATTCACCTATATATATATGTACTTCCATGCAATTATTATGTTTATATATATATATATTTTATAAATATTTATAAATATTTTAGGGTTCTATCGCAGGTTTAATCCTTGGTCTAACTCTTGGTTTTTGGATGGGTTTCGGAGGACCTAAAGCACCATTACAAAAATTACCCACATGGTCTTCTAAAGAGGGATGTGAGGAGTTTTGTATTGAGCTTGATGAATTTACAAATAGCACAACGAATGTTCCACCTTCGTCGGGTATTTTTTTTTTTAATTTAATAATAATAATAATATTCCTATATAATAAAGTAAAAAAATGAAAGTTTTTTCACATAAATTATTATTATTATCTGCAGATTACCTGTATGTTTACCGGTTATCATATCAGTGGTACATTGTAATATCATTTACAGTAACTTTACTTACTGGAATATTATTCAGTTGGGCTTTTATTAAAATAAAAAACAAAATTAAAAAAATTGATACGTCACCAACAGTTGATCCAGATTTATTTATTCCACCGATAGCTAAATATTTGAAAAAAAAATTAAATAAAATTCAGGTAAAATATTAATTAATTTACAATTCAAAAAATTCATTATTATTATCATAATCTTTTTTTTTTTTTTTTACTATTAATTTAAATATTATTTTTAATCGAATAATAATAAAAATTTAAATTTTTATTATAATAATTACAGATAAACGACGTTGAAAGTAGAAGTTCTGGAGTGACTTTAAAAGACGTATCTCCCTCAAAAATATAAATAAAAATTTGATTTGAATTTAGTGGGTCTCTTACATTAAAATTAGTACAATTATTATTATTATTATTTTTTTTTTTTTAGGTCGATTTTAACTTCGTGTTACGATAATTTTTTTTTTTTTTTTTTCTTTTTTTTCATTATCAAATAACCGTGAATAATGTATTTGATATTGTGGTAATAAAACTTAAAGAAAGAAAACGTTGATTAACAAAAGTTTTGTTAATCATATATAAAGGTTAAAAAATAACAATATTTTGGTGTGATATAATAGGTTTATTATTTAAGTAAAAAAGTAAGTTTTTTTTAAGTATTTATATTTTAAATAATATTATTATTAGTGGACCAGTTAACATAACATCGATTCAAAAACAATCTGTAAGTGTGACATTAAATATCGTTTAATAATTTTATCAAAATTATTATTAAAAATTTTTTCATATTAATCAATTATTTTGATTTATAAAATTTAAATTTAATTTATTTTGTTTAAAAACGAAATTGTAAAATTTATTAATTTTAACGTTGTATTATTTATTATTTTATTTAAAAAAAAAAAATTTATTTTCAAATGGTTACTTATTATTATTAATTAGGTTGTTTTTATTATTAATTTAAATTAAATAATTTTTTTGAAATTCTGTTATGTTATGCTGGTCATAACAATAAATATTAATCTAAAAATGTTAAATAATTTTATTTTTAATTTTAACCAGAAATAAAAAAAATTTTATTTTTTCATCGTTTGTTGTAATTCTTAAACGATTCGTTAATTTTACAATTTTTATTTATTTTAGTGGAAAAAATTTTTTTTTAGAAAGGAATCGGTTTTTTTTTTATTTATATATTTAAAAAAAAAAAACAAATTAAACGTTAATTTTTAAACTTTATTATTTTGGAATATATATATAAATATGTATGTGTATCTTTTTATGTAACACTTGACATATTTGTATTTTTAAGTAACACATTTTTTAAAATCAAGTGTTGACAAAAGATACTGTAAAATTAAATTTATAAAAAAAATAATTTTTAAGTAACAGCCACTTTAACTACAAGGCAATAAAAGAAAAGAAAAAAAATTTAAATTATAAATTAAACAAACATCATTCAAGCGGGCGACACATGACGTGACATATTAATTTAAATAAATTATATTTGGTTTTATATAAAAAAAAAACTTTTGAATTTAATAAATAATTGACTTATTAAGGCAATTTCGTTTTTATTTAAAGCACAATAATAGTAATCAATCATTTGGAAGTTGATTGAGAGAGAACCAAAGCACTGACAAGGCCGATCAATGCCTTATCTAACCAGGAAACTGGATTCATTGACATCAAACCACCTTCATAAAATCCCAGATGTCCACCGTGAGATAGCAAAACTAATGCCGTTTTATCTCTAGAAACTTACAAAAAAAAAAAAAAAAATTTTTTTTTTTTTATTATGCCAACTTAAATTAAACTTGAATTAAATTTTCTTGAATATTTAAAGGTAAACATGTTCAGAAAAGAAGAAGAGTGGAAAGTAAAATAAAATCCAAAAAATTATGAATTTACGAATGGTACATAAATTTCAAAATGACTTACTGCAAAAATTCTTAACAGGATCTAATAATTCCTCAGGTACAAGAGGATCATCTTTGGAATTAATAAATACAATAGGATGTTTAATATTCTGTAAGTAATTAACACTGCTACTCCAAATGTACATTTCATCAACACTATTAAATTTATATATTTTCCTGAAACATTAAATTATTAACAAATAAGTAATTCTCTCATATGGTAGGAAATACAAAAAAAAAAAATTCTCTATAACATATTAAGATTTTACCATCTCATTAGAAATGAAGTAAATTTACTTTTTTAGAAAAAATATTTTTTATTTTACCTAGTGAAAACATCATCCAGTTCAGGTAGTGTAGCAGCCGAAATAATTTCTCTTTCATTTAGATTAAATTTTTTCATGCTGTCTTTGTTCAATAAAATATATCTATGTTTCAAAATAATACTTTTAACAGCCTCCGTCAATACAAAAAAATACAATCTTCGAAAATTGTTCCAAGTAAGAAGCCATTTTGTTGCTCTTAAAAAAAAAAAAGAAAAATTTTTAATTTCATTTTTTTTTTTTTTTTTACTTATAGCAATGAATTATTAAAAATAAAAAATATTTACTCGATGGCATTGTAACCCTGACAAACCGAAACTCCAGATATTAAATTAACTGGGTGTTCTCTTTCTTCTCCCAAATATTT